TTATTGTTGTTGTTGTTCGTATTATTATTATTATTATAGATTGCATTTTATAGAGTGCAAATCCCGCTAAACAGCCAGCTTTATGAGCTTTACAATTACAATAACCCCAGCAGATCTTGCTTGGAAACATACATTGCAAGCTGCCACTTTACCTGCACTAAAACAATACCATTCTGACAAGATATTTCGCTGTCTATGGCTATGCAGGTACCCATGTACACCTGAGTAATCTGCCTTTCCCAAGGTAACAGCGTCGTGCCTGAGGCTCGAAACCTCGAATCCGCAACCTCAGGAGTACGAGTCCGGTAGCCTAACCACTAATTAAACTGCCGACGCCACATACTTTAGCTTTGGTAAGAGTTCTACGGCACTTGCAACACAATAAGGTCATTTCAATACCAAAGATTGGAGGTGTTACGATTAGAGAGTAACAAACGCAAAGAAAAAAGAAATAGGAGAGAGAAGGGCGGTAGAGGTCTGATAGGAAAGAAAGAGCAAATTACATTATCAGAGCACCCGGCAACCACCCCAACGCCAAATACATCTACGAATTGGTGAAGGGGTAGATCCAATGGTATAACCACATGACAAATCGGCACATGTCAAACAAAATGATGATGGAGAATACTAAAACTAAAATGGCCGCGGCAGACGAGCCGACCGTTCGAGCAGACACACGATCGTCTGGTGCAGAAGTTTTCTGCCTCACCGAGGAGGAGAGCATGGTGACGTCAACGGAAAGATGGCGGCGCAGCTGTGACGTAGTCTCCGCTATCTCTTCCTCAGTAGAAGGTAACTTTTTGGTGTTGCAGTTGCACGCACACAGTTTGACGTTCCTGCCTGTGTCTGTGGGCGAAGGGAGAGGAAGGGGAAATAAAGAGGACGCTTTTGTGTTTGGTTGTTTTTGTTTGTGTATGTGTGTGTTTTTATGTGCGTTTGTTTGTGTGTGTATGTGTATGTGTATGTGTGTGTGTGTGTGCGTGTGCACGCGCGTGTGTGTGTGTTTGCTAGTTTTTGCTTGTGTTGTGTTTGTGTTTGTGTGTGTGTGTGTG